TATTGGTGAATATCTTGCACTAATTTTGCTTAAACTGGCGCTGTTGCAGTTGAGATTGTCCATTCTCGAACATGTCAACATTTGATTGTCAACCTTACCTGATTTTTGTATTCGGGGCTTTCGACCCCGCCTAATTCATTTTTGATAGTTTCAGATGTAACTTTTCTAGTGTTTGGTAACTTTTTACCGACATAGTACCAAAATGTCGTTTTAAAATCTCTACCTCGTTTTGTCTGTACCCCATTTTTCATAACCTGTGATCATTTCTCTTCACAAATGTTGAAATTTCTTCTCAAGACTTCCACGTTTTTACTTTATTAAATTCGGGAGCAGAGAGGTAGATTTGTAAAACAGTAAAAAGCGAACTTAGACATTTTCAGAACATGAAATTAGTGTCATCTTTTGTGCGCAACTAAAAGACCGTCGTTAAGCAAGTATTTTTGGGAAGATAATCAGGAAATATGAGAACTGTGAGTAGAGAAACTGCAGGGAGGAAGGGTGGATTTGAAGCCTTCCTAGATTTCTAGAATCGTCGTTGCAAATGCTGACACTAACTGTTACACAATCTGATGACATGGAAAGGCTTTATGAAGTGATGAAAGGATTAAAGCGACAGTTTAGCATTAGGCCGTTAAAAAGTTAGCAAAACCTGAATGAACAAGTCTGAAACTTCTGCAGATGTATCAGGCTGGTTCAAAAACTTCAGTGTTTGAGAAATAAAGGTTGACGATCAAAAAGTGCATGCGTCTGAGGGGCACTCTTAACTGCAGTAGCGCCGGTTAAACCTGATAGATATTTCCTCTTCCCTGACTCATGAAATATGCGAGGATCTGTTACAGGACCTTTAGACAATGAGTATAATAGAGGTTATAAAGAGTTACTGGGCATAATACGTGAAAAACTAAAAAAGACGTGAAATATGGAAAAGAAAGGATTGGTTTTTAGACTAAATCTCTCTATCCGCAGCAGAGGGTTTTCAGGATCAAGATAGGAGCCCACTGTACTGAATTTTAAAAAAGAAGGAAGTGAAGGGAGGGTTTTGGGTGGGGGATTTCCCTGAATGAAATAGAAGTCACTGACTTAAAGCTGATAAATAAAAGTTTCAACATTCGTAATGTTAACTCGTAGAACTAAATTAGAATTACCTTCTTACCAAATTTAATTTAGAAAGTCAGGAAGTGTGATCTAGTGCTTCGTCCAACTTTCAATTCGTTTCTATTCGGACGCTTTTTATTTTTCTGACATG